TGAAGACTGTTGCAGCTGCCGCGCTACATTCTATCAAGCACCTATTTGGCTTGGCACCGACTTCAAACCGACTAGAAGGGACTATTGGTATTGTAATGTTACCTGTTACATTGAGGGTACTTGTTATAGTTTTTTACTTAGATTTGTAATTATTTTTTAATTTTTAGTGCTCTTTGTCGGTGTTTTTTGAAGTCGGTTCAACTTTTTTTTATTTTAAACTTAGAAGTTGGTTTTTTACAGCTTGAAGAGACTATAGTCCTGAGTATATTGTTTGAATTTAAACTCGATACCTCTACGCGTTCCGAGATTAACGGTCTTGACAGACAGACAGACGGACAACGAAGTGATCCTAAAAGGGTACCGTTTTTTTCCTTTTGAGGTACGGAACCCTAAAATCAAAAGATATTTTTTTTATTTAGATTTTTCCACTAAAACTACCAATAATTTCATTATTGTATTCTCAAATTATTCTTAACTTCTTTCGACAATAAGGCCACCTTTTCTAAATAGTTACCTTTCTAAATATTCTTGTCAGATGACTAAAACAAAATTTAGGACGAAAAATTCGAAATGACTAACACAACAGATTCACGTATATGCTCACGTAGTGTGTATATAAATGTGTGTGTGTGTGTGTGTGTTGGTACGTATATGCATGCGAATCTATAACAGTTTAGATTGTGAATGGTTTTATGCACAACGTTCCAAATATCCCGTTCGTTTTTACCCTGCTAATAAACTGCGAGACATACATCTCCGCAACAAAAAAAAAAATACTTTTTCCTCATTTTTCAAAAACTATAGATAGGTTAGTGGTCAAATTCGACCAATTTTTTTAGTTTTTTTACCTATTTGAAACATCAATCAAGGTATATATTATATAGGCATCCCGCCAGGTCAACAGAAGATCAATTCTCGTACTAAAAATTCGTTCAAAATTTATTTCCAATCCACTGTCACACACTATCATCACAAATGTTATAAAAGATATTCTCGTAGTATACCATTAAATATCCGACTTTGACTGTTATGTGAGTATATCATATTGTGACCGAACGTTCATTCAGTATTCTGGTAATCTCAGAAATACTGAACTACCTTACAACGGGATTACCTTTTTAAAATTTGTGAGATTGAGATCGGAACGAATGTTTATTACGAGAATTGACCTTCAGGTCAACAGATATATTGGACAAGTAAAACTTGATGTAGTCTTTACAGACTGTAACATAATTAATAATCTGACATCTTATAACAAATGATGATTACTGATTAGGGTAACCTTGTAGGATAACCAGATTGATTTCATTAAAGCGTTTAGTTTTTAATTGCTACTGAGTTAATACACAAAATGGAATACATAAATAAATACCGTATTTGGGTGTTCGGGTCGCGTACCCACATCTAAAACTTGCTACTGCCGGGAAAGAAACGAAACGTCTAAACATTGTTTTAGGTCTATCACAATTACAACATTTTGTGTATGTTTATGGACATGTATAAGCATACATAGTGACATGTTGATTCTTGACATATAGTGTATATGTAAATGAGCGAAGCCGGGCTGGATCAACTACTTCAAAAAAAGCCGGTCAAGTGCAAGTCGGACTCGCCCACCGAGAGTTTTTAGGTACATTTACAGGACTCCCGATTCATCCGTGTGGTGACGAATTAAGAATACAGAGTGTCACCACCCCTATTCATCCCGTGGGTGTCGTAAGAGGCGACTAAGGGAGTAAACTACGCAGGACAACAGCACTGCAGAGAGAAGGAAAACTTGAAACAAACCCTATACCAAACCGTCTGGCCAGCGTGGTATAGTAGGCCAAAACCTCCTTTCTAAGGAGAGGCCTATGTCCAGCAATGGACTAGCAAAGGCTGTTAATGATTACAGAATTTAATTACAAATGTATAGTTTCCAGATTTTTTCCTGTACTTGTAGTATAAGACGGTATTACTTGCCAAATTTTATAGTTCCAGATCAAAGGAAAATAACCTATTAATTTTGATTCCCTTGAGTGTCGCAATTTATGTTTTTTTGCGGCATAAAAAGCCGTATCTTTTTTTAACCGACTTCAAAAAAAGGAGGAGGTTCTCAATTCGACTGTATTTTTTTTTTTTTTTTTTTTTGTATATTTGTTACACGATTACTCCGGCAATTATAAACCGATTTGAATAATTCTTTTTTTATTTGGTAGGTCATACGTCAGAGGTGGTCCCATTGTCACCAGGTCAGGATCTGATGATGGAATCCTGGGGAAATCGAGGGAAACCCTCAAATTTTGTAGGCATATACACTGTTTATCAGAAATTATCTTAATCTATGTAGATTTTTGCATCTAATGGTCACCATCTGATGTTGCTGAGCTGATGATGAATGGTTTAGGAGTATGGGATCTCTGTAACAAAATTATGTAATACCATCGAATTTGAATGTGTTTGAGTCTAATTAATAAGGACTCCGATCCTATGTGATATTCAGGGTCTGATGATGGAGACGGTAAATAGCCATGGGAACTCTGTAATAAAATAAAGCAATTCCGCCGTGTTTGTGCTCATTTGATTCGTCTCGACTAGGAGCTTCATGCTAGTCGATTTTTAACCAACATCAAAAAAGGAGGGTTTTTGATTCGACAGTATGTTTTCTTTTTAACCGACTTCTAAAACACAAAAGAGGAGGTTCTCAATTTGTCTGTATTTTTTTTTTTAATGTATGTTTGTTACGCGATTTCTCCGTCAATTGTGGACCGATTTTCAAAATTCTTTTGTAATCGTAAGGGTATGCTCCCGAATTGGTCCCATTACCACCAATTCAGGATCTGATGATGGGATCCTAGAGAAATTGAGGGAAACCCTCACAATTATTGGGAATTTGACAGCCCCGATAACGTGTTTTAGCTACGAGTATTTCTTTAAAAACCATGGCAACCGTCAGAGACTGCGCGATGTGATGCGCAGAGAACTTACAGTATTTATGTCACCACAGTAATTTTCGTTGTATTAATAAGAAGAAAAGGTTGAAATTTTGTATTTTATCTTGTTAAAATAATTCGGATAGACGTTTTGTTGCTATGGATGGCATCGCATTTCGTTTGTAAGTAATTTTATACTTAATTTATTAAAATAGTTCTGAAAAAAACTCTTAAATTTTGTGTGAGTCAACTAGGTTAATTTCTAACATACCAGTATTAACCCTTCTAGTTGGAACTCCTTCTATAAAATATTGAGCATATTTGTTGAGTAGTCTCACTAAAGCTTCCCTATCTTCACCTTCGAGGTCAGTGTCAATTGAATCGGAAGTTATTTTGTTCGGTTGCAACTCACAAGAATTTGACTGTTTCTTAGAAAAGAATTTAAGCTGATCTTGATCAGTTTGGACGCCAATGTAGGAGAGGCCTATGTCCAGCAGTAATTTAATATAATATTTAATATAATCTAACAAACTACAGTTTGTTACTATACATTACGGTACGTAGTGTTTTAAATATCGTACTTATCTACTCATTACAAACATATCCTACACTAAAAATGGTAAAATAAACCCTTTTAAAAAAAAAGTTGAACCGACTTCAAAAAACACCGACAAAGAGCACTAAAAATTAAAAAATAATTACAAATCTAAGTAAAAAACTATAACAAGTACCCTCAATGTAACAGGTAACATTACAATACCAATAGTCCCTTCTAGTCTGTTTGAAGTCGGTGCCAAGCTCGATGCACAATAAGTAATACTGGTCTATGTCAGCTTTATATTAGCACAATGAAAAATTAAGAATTCAAAATAATTCTAATGAAACATCGAAGATTTTGTTAATTAATAAAGACCAACCAGATCAATTACGTGCGCAAACGTATCAACTCCTTATTAAAGCATTCAAAATAATAATATAATGGGAGATGTGCGTCCACTTTAGCTCGTTCAACATGTTTTGCGCAGCATGAAGACTGTTGCAGCTGCCGCGCTACATTCTATCAAGCACCTATTTGGCTTGGCACCGACTTCAAACCGACTAGAAGGGACTATTGGTATTGTAATGTTACCTGTTACATTGAGGGTACTTGTTATAGTTTTTTACTTAGATTTGTAATTATTTTTTAATTTTTAGTGCTCTTTGTCGGTGTTTTTTGAAGTCGGTTCAACTTTTTTTTTATTTTAAACTTAGAAGTTGGTTTTTTACAGCTTGAAGAGACTATAGTCCTGAGTATATTGTTTGAATTTAAACTCGATACCTCTACGCGTTCCCGAGATTAACGGTCTTGACAGACAGACAGACGGACAACGAAGTGATCCTAAAAGGGTACCGTTTTTTCCTTTTGAGGTACGGAACCCTAAAATCAAAAGATATTTTTTTTATTTAGATTTTTCCACTAAAACTACCAATAATTTCATTATTGTATTCTCAAATTATTCTTAACTTCTTTCGACAATAAGGCCACCTTTTCTAAATAGTTACCTTTCTAAATATTCTTGTCAGATGACTAAAACAAAATTTAGGACGAAAAATTCGAAATGACTAACACAACAGATTCACGTATATGCTCACGTAGTGTGTATATAAATGTGTGTGTGTGTGTGTGTGTTGGTACGTATATGCATGCGAATCTATAACAGTTTAGATTGTGAATGGTTTTATGCACAACGTTCCAAATATCCCGTTCGTTTTGATCGTAAAACCACGCGATTCGACCCAAAACTCCAGATTTATCCCACAGTCGTTCACGGGCGGCGCGCGCGCACCGTACCAATACACCTAGAGAAACTATACGTGACTTAGAAATATTGAATTGTGTATAACAAATGTAGTGGTGGTAGTCAAATTATGAGTGATAAATAGTTTGAATTTTAATTGATATTTGAATTATTTTCAGAAATGTGTTTTGGGTTATTTATAGGAGGATTTATATGTTTTATGTTATTAGTGTTCGTGATTGATGTGATGATGAAGTGATAGTGTGATAGTAAATTTCCGATCTAGAACGGTTGGATGCCATAAGTGATCATGTCTCGAAGAGAGGGTCGAACTGTAAACGGGGAGTACCCCATTCCTCCGCCTAGCAAATGTGCCAAAGTGAGTTGTTTTATATTATGATTTCTTTATTGACTATGGAATACGCTTATAAATAAAGTACAATTACAAAAATAAAGGTATATTTATTTGCAGAACATTGGTTTAATCTAGACACAATTTTTTGCCTACAAATCTTTTTTAGTAAAAAAAGGAACTCTTATAAGATCACTTTTTTGTCCGTCTGTCCGACTGTCCGTGTGTCACCACCGATTTTCTCAGGAACGGGTAGACCTAGCAAATTGAAATTTATAGCAGATACTAAAATCAATGAGGTGTATAAAAATCAAGGTCCTAAGTCCACAAGATAAAAAGATATGGGTAAATTTCGATTTTCGCCAAAACTTGGGAGTACCAAAATTTACCTTAATTTTCCACTTTTTTTATTTTTCTGAATTTTCTCTTTACTTGTGCTGTAATACCTTGCTTTTAACCAAAATTGACAATTCTTTTTTTTTTTTTTTTTTCTTTTTTTTTACGTGTGGAAATCCCCTCGGACCGTCACCCCGCCGGGGCTCTCGTTCGGCGGGGCGGTGTGTCGGACTCGAACCGACTAAAACCACACGGTGTGCCCTCTTTGCGCTTCCAGTTTAGGAAGGGTCCAGGTAGCTATCTCCTTCTGGACCCCTCCCAGCGCCGGCCCGCTCCTGACGCGGGCTCCGTCTCAGTGGACCCTCTCTTTAGGCGGCGTCCGGCACACGCGGACGCCGCCCCCTCGCGGCTGGCCAACTAATGCGGGTGGAGGGGAGAACCCATCCCGTCCACCCGCGGCCACACTCAGGGCGGCATGAGGCGCAGGTGAGCGCGCCTCCGCCGCCCGGTTCGCCGGCGGCGGATCAGGTCCGAGTGGAGGTCGTCCTCCCGGGCCTTCTCCGCCGCCTCCTTCTGCGAGATTACCTCCTCGCAGAAGGTTGCGACCGCGGTAAAACAACAGTCGCTACCGGCCATGGAGCGAATTACGGCCGGTAGCGAGAGATCCGCTCCGATGACTGCAGTGAGGGCCCGGCGCTGCGTCGCCCATGCGGGGAAAACCGCCAGCGTGTGCTGGGCCGAATCCTCACCGCAGTCGCAGTGGTGGCAGGCGGGACTCGATTCCCTCCTAGCGACCGAGTACAGGTACTTTCCGAAGCAACCGTGCCCGGAAAGCACCTGCGTCAGCCGGAAGGAAAGGGTCCCGTGCTGCCGCCCTGCCCACTCGGCGATGACCGGCTGGAGAGCCTCCACGGCGGCGAGGGCGAAATCCGCTCTCCGCCCGGAAGTCAGCCACTCGCCGATAAACCTCGGCGAGCACTTCCGCCTCCAAATCCCACGGGGGTGTTCCGGCCAAGGCACAGGCCGCCTCGGTGGACACCGTGCGGTATCCGCGTATGGCTCTGACCGCCAATATCCTCTGGGGGCGCCAGAGGCGCGCCCTATTCGGGGCGGTCAGAGCCGCCACCCACACCGGTGCACCATACAGCGCCATGGACCGGACAACCCCCGCGTACAGCCGCCTCGTGGGAACACTGGCCCCGCCCAAATTAGGCAAAAGTCGCCCTAGGGCGGAGGCAGTGTCCACCAGCTTCGGACCAAGCTGTCGGAAGTGCTCGTCGAAGAGCCACCTACCGTCTAGGACCAGACCCAGATACCTCATCTGGGCCCGGACCGGTACGAGGACCGAGCCGACCTCGATTGAGGCGCCGGCGGGCGGACCACGACGGGGCCCATGAAATAATAGGGCCTCCGTCTTATCCAGGGCCACCCGCAAACCCAACGCCTCAATGCGCCCGACCACCTGGGAAACTCCCGCGGCGGCCAGGCGCGCCGCCTCCTGGAAGTTAGCCCCCCGGGCCGTGACTAAAGTGTCATCCGCGTAGCAGATTACACCCAGCCCAGGGGGGAGACGCCCTCGTAGGGCCCAGTCGTACCCGATGTTCCACAGGAGAGGTCCTAGGACAGACCCCTGCGGAACACCGCACGACATGGCCCTGCAAAATTGACAATTCTAGGTCAACCGTAGTCTCGTACCTGACCGGTTTTTATAATCTCTCATTCCAATTACAATATTTGATATAACAGAAAAAAAAAAATTAAATAATAATAAACATATTAAAATACAATAAGAGTATGTTCGGCACAAAGGGCTCGAAGGACCATGTAGGTATTGATCTACATTGCTTATACTTTTGCAAAAAATAGATGATAGAGCTATTATAAAACTTGAACATTTGACTAAATATTATAAAATGCCCTAGAGTAGATCATAGAGTTATCAGAGAGTTATAAAAATCCAACTGTTTTACTAAAAACCGAAATATGTATCTAGCCCAATGGCTGTAGCTGTCATTCGGGATGATGGAAGGTATAACGATAGTTATTACATGCTAATCCAAAATAAGAATAAAAATCTCATTAAGACATGTACATAAATGAACACTGAAAACAATTCACTCCTTTTTGAAAAGCGGTGTAAAGAAAGAAATAGTTAAAAGTTTGTATTGAAGTAATTCAATACATATTATGTCAACAACCGCAAGTCAATACTGAAAGAATTAAAATTCAAACCAGGGAACCGTTATTCTTAATACAAGTAGCTTCATTACGTAGGTCATACACAGGTTGTAAAGAAAGAATAATACAATATTATTTCAACATGACAACACTGTTCATTGACCTTGGTCAACTTACATCATAGTGTAATGAACCCACTGTTGAAAACACATGTTAGGGGCGAGGAACTCCCCCGACTCACTGAAAAATGTTATAATATACCTACTTCAAGACAGCACAAAGGCTGTAGAAATGATCATACTTGACAATTTCTCACGACTTTATTACCAATTATTAATTTATCTCTCAAGAATTGATTAAGATGGTAATTAAAACGCCTAAATCAAACTAAATTACTTTTGGATTGGCAATTACACAGCTTTATTCTGTCTTCATCTAAGACCTCAAAGACCGGTCCTATCTTGGACTATAATATTTTTAATCAATTGACCCACCTTTTTCTATTTATACAAATAAATAAAATTAAAGTGTCTGTTTGTAGTAATAGGGTTTTTTTCATGCTCTTATGGTTATTTTCACGAAAAAATATACCTTAAAACCAGTTTAAATATTTGTTGTGTCTGTCTGTCTGTCTGTTTGTTCCGGGTATTCTTCGATTATTCTCGTCTTATAGTATTCTTGATAATATTTCACTACCAGGTAGCTGTTTACATTAGAAATAACTTAGGCTATTTTTCCTCTCAGAAAAACCCTTTAAAATTTTGCCTGGTCCGGCATCGAACCCACTAAGGCAGCGCTTTACAAATTTCAAGCGAACGAAGTCACGGCTACCAGCTAGTATTAATATAAAGATATAGAAATATTAGTCAATTGACATTTTTTTTACTGTGCTTGCTGTGGTCTCCTGTAAGTGAAGGAGTACACCGACTTTAAACCCATTCCGTTAATTACTGTTTTTTTTACTTGTGTATATCTTTCGTAGGAGATCCTAATAAATAAATAAATAAATAAATTAAACTCCTATTAAATCATTTATAGCACGTCGCACGATAACGTTCAGTTTTTGGGTTGCGAACTAGAAGGTATCTGAATACTACGAGAAAAATTTCGAAACGTAACCGATGCAAGTGTCGGCAGCTTATTACATTATAATAAACTGCTGATTATCTTTCCCCGCAGTTTGACTTTTAGTTTAAATTATACATATAACTAGCTGACCCGGCAAACGTTGTTTTGCCATATTCATTATTTCTAGGAAATATTAAAAAAAAAAATAGGTGTGGGTCACCCTTGACATTTAGGGGTATGAAAAATAGATGTTGGCCGATTCTCAAACCTACTCGTATCGTGCTAATAACCGTTTGAGCATGAAAAAACCTATAATTTTGACATTAGAAAAAGACTTCAGTTTTCTTTATTTGTATAGATGTAAAGAAAACTATTAGTACCCAGTGTTATTTGGAATACTTAATGTATAAATGTAAAATAAGGGTTAAGAAAGTTAATATTTTTTTTTTTTTTTATGAAATAGAGCAAACGAGCAGACGGGTCACCTGATGGAAAGCAACTACCAACCAAGCAACGCCTGCAACTCAGGAGTCACAAGCGCGTTGCCAGCCTTGGAGGAAGGAGTATGCTCTTTTCTTGAAGGTTTGAAGGTCGTATCGGTCCGGAAATTCCGCAGACGATAACCCATTGCCATATATGCTATAAAGTTGAAAATAATGTAACTGCTACACGATCCAGTACATTATTATACCTTCATCTGTTAAGGTACAACATTCTATTGAAACTGTCCTTCAATGAGTTGAAACAACCGTTCAAAATTGTCGAAATCAATGCATCTCTTCTACGTATAACTCTACCATTCTTCTTATATGAATAATATATATGGTGACGGATTAAGAATACGGAGTGTCGCCACCCCTATTTAACCGTGTCGTAAGAGCCGACTAAAGGAGCAAACTACGCCGGGCACGCCGTCATCGCGGCGGTAAGACCCGTTATGGAGGATTGGCTCGAGAGGCGTCACGGGACCCTCTCATACCGACTGAAGCAGATGATCACTGGGAAAGGATGTTTCGGGGATCACCTGTGTCTGATCCGCAAGGAGCCAACGCCTGAGTGCCACCACTGCGATGGCCAGACCGTGGACACGGCTCTCCACACGCTGGCAGAGTGCCCGGCGTGGGTTGAGCAGAGGCGAGACCTCGTGGCGGCCATCGGAGTGGGAGTTCTCTCGCTCGATAGCCTGATTGCGGCTATCGTGCGGAGCGAGAGTGCGTGGAACTCTGCCGTCTCCTTCTGCGAGCAAGTTATGCTCGCGAAGGAGACGGCGGAGCGGGACCGGGAGAGGTTTAGAACTCTCCCGCCCCGCCAGGTCCGGGAAAGGGGTAGGTACCGCAGGCGACTCAGGCGCCGGAGGTCGCAGAACGACCTCCGTCCTCCATAAGCGCAGGCCTGGGGGTGACAGCTGAGGCCGTCTGTCACCCTAACAGAAGCAGGCCTCCCTCCCTGGAAGCGAGCGCGCGCGAACCACCTATCGGTGGCATGTCGGACCCGAACCAACTAAAACCGCACGCCGTCTCGAGCACTAATAGCCGGGGAACCAGGTATACCCTAGAAAGGAAGTCCCTGGTGCCCCGACATACCTCGGGCCATCTACAGACGAGTAGACGACCCCCCCTGTGTGGGAACCCCATGTTCCCTCTGCTCCCTGGAAGCGAGCGCGCTTCGCAACGCGCTCGCCGTCGCCATCTGTACCTGATATTCCAGTCAATTCGTTTAAATATTATCTAGAATTTAGCATATTTTATTTGCTACCAAGAATACCAGTAGTTTGTGATTCACAGTTAACAAAGCTCATCTGTACTGTGATAATGTATTATTATCATAAAGCTATAGATGTTCTTTGTTGATTTGTTTAAACGTTCTACTTCTCTGGAGCTATAAACTGATTCGAATAATAAAATTATACGTTGAATAGATTAGTTTATACGTCGGAGAGCTATACTTCAGCACGTCAGTCTAATCCCAAACTAGATAGAAACTATGGTAACCAGACCTGATAAACATTCTTAAACATACTTAAATATTTCTAAATACATACATATTTTGATACACCTATACATAGAACAAAATTATCGTGCTCATCAAACAATTATTTGTCCTGGGTGGGACTCGAAGCCACAACCTCCGGCTTAGTAGTGAGCGTCACTAACCGCTAGACCAACACGCTCGTCATTAGCTTGAAAATGATTGCTACTTTTAAATTCTATTCATTTGATGAAATTATTAATTTCAGTCACAATGATTTTACATGTCTATGAAATCACAATCACAAGTGCAATTATCATCATCATAAATCGTCATCATAAATGGCATTAAAATCAATCAAAATTCTTTTTTTTTTAGATTTAGACCTTTCGCGAGTCGCGCTAGCGTAATAATAATAATTAAGTTTTGTAAATCAGTCTCAGGTGTGGCGATATGATTTATAAATCATATGATTTATCTCATGTGATTGTGATTTTATCAAATCCCTACTCGTCATATGGTCATTCAGAAAACTTTTGTTAAGCTATTCTTTCGTTACTTTTTAACCGAGAACTCCCCCCTCTCTTCTCCAGAATTCTGTTTTTGGCCTTACGTAAAGTACTTATGTCTCTTCGGTTGCAGGTGGCACTTACCGTCAGGTGACTGTCTGCTCATTTGATTCCTATTGGATACAATAATAGCATTATTAAAAAAAAAACCCCGACACAAAAAAAACAACAACTGCGTATTGAGACTGTTCTAATATATGCTGTAATTTTCTAAGGAGTTGGCTATCCTGCAGACTACTCGATGCAGGAGCAAGTTCCAGGTTACCATGTCGTGGCAATACCATCAAAGTAACAGTACCAAATTTCAGATAAATTGGACCTGTGGATTTTAGTGAGATCCCTTCATCACCTAGGAATTGATCTACAAAATTTATAACTGAGAACCATCTCGACCACATCGGCTTTCGAACAAAAAAATCCGCATCGAAATTGGTCCATCCGTTCGGAAGCAATGATGCAACAGACAGACAGATACACAGATTAAACTTATAATTTTATTTATTTAACCCTCATTTTTCGTCGGGGTTTAAAAAAAGGAATGTCATCACTCTAATACTAAATGGAGCAACGTGTATTTAGGGGGATGAAACTGCAAAGACCGCCTATTGATAGAAATATATGTTATGTAAACAATGTACCAAGCATTTACAGATCAAAGTGAATATCTTTATTCAGAATGTAAACGAGCTATTCATAGTCTGTAATTACTGTTTACAAGACTATAGATATTACACGATGCTTTTGCTGTATATTCAGCCAGTCTATTTTTTTATACAGAGTAATATTAAGATCTAGATATTGCATAGATATCCTGGGAAAGTACTAGCTCACTGTTGAGAAGAAGTAATTGACACCCAAACAACTTCAAAAAAGAAAAGTTCTTAAATCGGCTGTACTCGTTTTTCATGTTGTGTTACTTCCGAGCTGCGTTATGTATGACCTATTATAGGTTAATTCATTTTTCATTTGAAAAAGTATACGTTTCATATTCCTATTGAAAAAAACCGGTCAGGTACGAGTCGAACTCGTTCGCCGTACTTACAAGTTTTCGCGAAAATCGAAATTTGCCCACATTTTTTTATCGTACATTGATTTTTATACACCTAATAGGGACCATAGACTTCAGTATCTGGTATAAATTTCAACTTGCTAGGGCTACCCGTTCCTGAGAAAATCGGTGGTGACACACGCACAGACGGACAGACGGACAAGAAAGTGATCTTATAAGGGTTCCTTTTTTACCTTTTGAGGTACGGAACCCTAAAAATGACACCTAAGGTTAAAAATTAAGAAATGAAGAATATAGTTTAGTATAATTCATTATGATGTAGTCAATCTGAGTAAAAGCAAAGCAAAGCAAAGCGACGACTGGATGCAGTCCACTACTAAAAGTGTTGTTTTGGAAAGTAATTAAGGAAGGGTTTCGTCCAGCAGTGGAAGTTCTGCGACAATGATTATGATAATACTCGTATCACATCATCATCACATTAACAGCCTATACTAGTCCACTGCTGGACATAGGCCTCTCCTTAGAAAGGAGGTTTTGGCCTACTATACCACGCTGGCCAGACGGGTTGGTATAGGGTTTGTTTCAAGTTTTCCTTCTCTTTGCAGTGCTGTTGTCCTGCTTAGTTGTCCCTTAGTCGGCTCTTACGACACCCACGGGATTAATTGGGGTGGTGACAATTTGTATTCTTAATCCGTCACCACACGGTATACAATATAGTAAATATTAACTGTTTCTGTGTACGCAGGTACTTTATTACACATGGAAGTTGTGTTCGGTTGTGTTTTCCCACTTCGTGATGATCAGCCTGGTGGTGGCCTACTGTATCCTCGGCGCTGTCACTTTTGAGAGGCTAGAGGCGCAACACGAGAGAGACGTAAGATATATATTTAAATATTTGTTAAAACATAATCAATGAGTTTTCTTCAATTCAATCAAAAACATCTTCAATTTGGTTTTTATGCAGAATAAAATGCATTATGGTTTCTGATTAATTTATTGTTTTACTAAAGACAACGTTTACATTCTTCGTGTCACGATATTTCATTCTCTATAAATTTTACTTTCAAAACCGCATCGCTATTCGCAGCCAAAAACTCTTTGATAAACGAACGGCTAAAGAGTAGAGCTCTGAACAGCACTCTAAAATAAATGGATAGGTACACACGGGCGAACACTGAGTGCAATAAATCATACAAAGTATTACGTATTGTGTACGCCAGATTTCGTAATGTACAGGCTTTTTAGACGTCTCTTAACTGCGCCGAGTATTTTTATGATCATCTGGATGTTATCTTACAAATTTTTCAATGATTTCATCAAATAAAATGTGTTGGGAAAAGTAATAGTCAGAAATTTACAGGTGGTTAGATACTGATTTTAAGGTTATTTAAACAGTAATAATATTAAATTGACACATTTCACACACGGCCGTCTGGCCAAACTAAGCAAAACCTGTTCTATGGTTACCAGGTTGCTGATTAATCTTAATATATATAAATCTTCTATAGTGTGTTTGTAACCTAACTCCTCAACGGCTGCCCCGATTTGGATGAAATTTTGTGATTATATTTCAATGGGTTCCTGGATGGTTTAAAAACACAAATTTGTCACCTAAATTTATTAATTCTGAGTCCGAATCTTACCATTTTCACATACAGCTACGAAACTTACTACAACACCATCTAACGAAGACACACCGAACTACGGAATGACTACTAATGCTGCATAGCGCTATGAAAATTTTAGCACCGTTTAGTGCATATTCCTACACCAAAGTTGTGTTTGCGTATAACGCCCGTTCTTCTAAACCTATATTTTATTTATGCATTTATTTATCTATTTATATGATTTAAGGTATATTATATTGACACATCAATCCCATTCCCGTTGGTTCCCATAAAATAATAAGTACGAGTATTATAACCTTAATCTTAATAAAAAATGTAATAAATAAAGTCTTCCTAATAAATTTGGCCATCTGTTCAATGGATTCTATATCTCAATTACCTAACTGACATTGTATTGAATGTAAACGCGGTGTACGTACCAAATGAAAATATCTCGCCGACGGAACGCTCACAAAGATAATAAACTTCCACTTACAATTACAACATACTTACTACATACTGTTTAATATAAAAAAAAAACACGTGGGAATTTTTAGTAACGGATTAGAAGGTCGATTACTCGAGGAACTTAGGAAGAAGAATCTGTCTGAAATATCTTTAATATAATAAGTATATAGCAACGTGTTCCTGTTTTTTGGGAAAGCACATATGAGACCGGGTCGACAGAAAGGCTCGGCTTTACAGAAACCCAGTACTAAGCAATTTTATTTGTTGGTTTTCACTTTGTCCTGAGCCCAAACACTACTACTACACTTTAGGTATCCTTAATTATACGTTCCTCTAAAAACCGGCAGACGGAGCGTACAACTTGGGCTGATGACCTGGTGAATGTCGCGGGAAGAAGTTGGATGCGGGCAGCACAGGACCGGTTTTTGTGGAGAACATTGGGGGAAGCCTATGTCCAACAGTGAACTTGATGATGATGATGAGTGGAGTGGATGATGATGATCAGTATATGAATAAAGTAGCCAGTAGATTAAAATTGTTTTGTTCTTATTCATATCAATAGTGCTCGTAAACTAAACAAAATAGAATAAAATCTTCGAAAACGTTTCTGAAAGACTGGCTTTTTGTGTTTTCCTCTTTTTTGTGTAGAACATACACATACAAGCTAATCTCCAAGTCTATAATATACGAATAGTTTAGTAAGTTTGAAGGTAAAATGGTTTTCGGTTGACAGGTGAAGACAAATATATCACACATTCGCCGTAACACGACGCAGAGCATCTGGACCATGACGAGAACGGTCCCTCTACTCAACCAGACCAACTGGACTTGTGAGGTTGTTGATATGCTCAAGGTACAGTATACAGTACTGCATATAGTACAGTACTTAATATCTCAGTATAACATTAATTATTTTATGTACATATACTTTACTCAAGTAACCCTGACCTGCATCAGTTACTGGGTACACTCCCGAATTTCTATTGCCTTCCCTCTCTATCAACGCGAGGTAGGTCCTTTCAATATAATGCCAAGTCAGTAAAGTTACCGGTGACCAAACCCTCTCTCTTCCAATGATTCTATGGTAAGGGACTTTAAGGGCGTTAACGCACTTGTAACCCTTTAGATACAGGTGAACCATACTTATCATCATGAACCGTCTGATCGTTTACCCCCCTACATCACACACATTACATCATCAGCCTTTAACAGTCCACTGTTAGACATAGACCTCTACTTAAAAAGGAAGTTTTAGCCTACTATACCACGATGGCCAGACGGGTTGATTTATGGTTTGTTTCGAGATCTGCGTGTGGTGACGGATTAAGAATACGGAGTGTCACCACCCCTATTCATCCCGTAGATGTCGTAAGAGCTGACTAAGAGGGCAAACTCTACATGGACAACGTCATTACAAAGAGAAGGAAAATTACCCTCGTATACCAAGAAACTAATTTTCCCATTTAATTCCTGAAGTATCTGGACTATTAGAGACTTTTCTCTATTCCTTCAGTAACATTTAATAAAAATCTCGTCGGTACAGTGTTGACGTTTAATCATTTATTTTTTAGGACCAAAACTTAAAAGGTCTTGTTTCTAACATAATAACTATTAAAACCATTTACAAAATAAATGTATAGGTGTAAAGGAATTGTGCAGTTTTACTTTAAAGCATATCACAGGAGTATCCTACTGATGCATTTTATTTAATTTGCTATATTTTATACAGAAAACTGTATACCGACCCGTCTGGCGAGCTTGGTATAGTAGGCCAAACCCTAATTTCTAAGGAGAGGCCTATGTCCAGCAGTGGACTGTTAAAGACTGTTGATGTGATGTGTGTGATATAGGGGGGTAAACTACCCCCCTTTATCACACACATCACATCTACATGGTGGACGATGGTATGTTACGGCATCATTTGATGGTAAGTGACTACCAACGCTTATAGACACCTGTATCTCAAGGGTTACAAGTGCGTTAACGCCCTTACAGTCCCTTAGAATATTCCCATAGAATCATTGGGAGGGGGAGAGTTTGGACACCGGTAACTTCACTGACTTGACATTATATTGAAAGGATCTACCTCACCTTGACTAAGAGGAAAGGAAATAAGGCCTTTCTAATGAGTGGCCTATGTCCAACAGTGGACTATTATAGGCTGTTGATGTGATGATACAGAAAACTTATTTTTAAACTGAAAATATTACCTTCATAAGTGATCGATAGAGTAAGAAGAATATGAGAATATTGTCGTGAATGAAACTACATAGGTATAGTTGATGAATACTTTAAATGTGTAAATAAAATCACAAAAATTGACATGTGAATTGTTTTTAGTACATTGCTATTGGTTGTGGCCTTCGGTTTCCGCATTTACACTCAAGAGTGGTCCTTTAAGGGTAGAGGATTGGTTAGCTAAGTGAGCCAACCAAGCTCCTTCCAGAAGCGCAGTAGCCTCCTGGGGCGTTCACAGGCTTCTAGGAGCGATTTTGTCTCAGGGCTTTTAATAAAAAAAAAAAATATGGCATAAGGGGGCAATCTAGCAGACGGGTCACCTGATAGTAAGCAACTACATGGACACCTGCAACTTAAAAATCACAAGTGCGTTGCTGCCCTTGGAGTTCCTCCCGCTCGAGTCAGCGGGAGGGGGGATTTGGGCCGGTAACCTCACTCACTCTGTAAAAGGCAACGAAAGATTTGCTTAACACCGGTTTTCTGTGAGGCCGTGATATCACTCCGGTCGAGTCGGCCCATTCGTGCCGAAGCATGGCTCTCCCACGGTCCATTAAACGCGAATAAACATTTTACAATTTTTTTTACAGGATTTCGAGAACGCCATTTTACTGGAGATGAAGGTACACGGCTGGGATGGTAACGAGAGCATCGAATCCATTCAGTGGACATTTACTGGAGCGCTGTTCTACTCCATCATTGTCATCACCACTATCGGTAAGCGACCTAAGATAGTATAAGAAAAATTTGGCGTTTGCAGTTGTGATCGTACATATGTCGGCTTTTTTATTGGTGATTTACATACTAATTCTTCAGTTTTTTTTTCGTGTGGGAACCGCCACACCGGGACTCACGGGGAAGTTCTATGTCGGAATCGAACCGCTTAAAACCACACGATTTACCGTCACATGAGTCTATTGCAAGGGACTTTGGTATACTTTACCAATGTGTAATAAATCGAGTCAACTCAGCTACTCAGAGGAGCAACGCTGGGACGCGGTATGAAGGAGAGTGGAGTCCTGCCCGCGAAGTCTGCGGTAGTACCGGCTGGCTTCGCTTGCTTTAGGAGTATCACGTACTTTAGTTGCACGCGTTTCATCAACATCATCATCAACAGCCTTTACTAGTCCATTGCTGGACATAGGCCTCTCCTTAGAAAGGTTTTGGTCTAATATACAACGGTAGCCAGACTGGTATAGGTACAGGTATACGTATAGGGTTTGTTTCAAGATTTCCTTCTCTTTCCAGTAGTGTTGTCCTTCGTAGTTTGCTCCCTTAGTCGGCTCTTACGACACCCACGGGCTGAATAGGGGTGGTGACACTCTGTATCCTTAATTCGTCACCACACGGACGTTGCAAACTTTTGGTGCAAAATTACTCGCAATATTTTTATTATTTGATTAACCCACAGTGGTATTGTTATCTCTTTATTTCACTAATAATATCAGAGAAAGAGCATTTAATTTAAGCTCTCGATGTATTTGATTTTACAAATAAGAGGTTGGTTAAGTAAGTAAAAATTAAATACATAATTATCGCAATCTATTTCATTCTCGTATCCAATAATATCATGCGCCGGAGCACTGATGTCTCCTCTTCACCATTGAAACCAATTCCTCTAGACAATCAGTATGACTTACTAGGAGGGAACTTACTGCTAAAGTAAAGCTTTTTACTGTAGACTTGAGATAGAGTAAGTATCACGGTTATTCGAACGCCATCAAATTTGTTGACATGAAGAATAAACCAAAAAAAAAATATACATGAGCCGCGAATATTTTTTGGCCAGCAATGTATTTGTATATTTGCCACTTTTGAAGACAGTAATTTATTCATGTAAATTAAATGTGGCTATGTTACTACTTTCTTCTGAGTGCCCAGTACTAACAATGTACAATTCTTATCTTCTTACTTATCTTATTTAAAACGACAACTACATTCCTGTGTCGCGGGGGAATTTACAAACATACTTGAAACGGACACAAACAACACTCAGACTCAGAACAACAATTTGTAGATCACACAAAGTGTCGTCCCATGTGGTTTTGAACACATAACACTCGGCGGAGTAGTACCGCTTAAACCACCACGCCATCCGTGCAATATACATATTGCCTTGGGAATTAACCTGACATAAATTTACGGATTCTTTACTATACTCATCAAATTTTAATCCTTGTACGTTCATAGATTGTCTACTCAATTTTTGCCTAACTCTTTTGACATTTATTATATGCGTGAAAATATTAAATTAGTAGTATCAAGGTAGGACAAGAATCAGAAGTCGCCCGAACGCCACCGATCAGTGGCGCCTGCTGCTGGACGCGAGCCAATCTACCGCCATTCGTCACGTTTTTTATTTTCTGAAACTATGGCTCGCAAACAAAATGTTTATTTTCGATATAAATTCATCATCACACCTACAATTATTTTTGTTTCAACATTCTATTGGCGTACCACTGACAGCATTCTTTAAATAATCAAAGAGTAAAGCAGATGAAAATAATTTTACAGGTATTAACCTACTTGCAGTTGAAACGAACAATTGAAATATTACCCTTACGATAGGTGATATAATCTTCGTTAAAATATTCTTCTATTACTACAATAGACAGAATGTTTTTTTATACATCATAGCTAGCAAATTAAATAGTCAGGGGTGTCACTTTTCTGCTGCTAAACCCACCTACTGTCACGGTAACCCTAATCGATAGCAGAAAGAGAATACAGTTTAATTTCAAGACAGTATAATTTCGTTGAAACTGTCATGGCACTAATCCAAATTAGATAGTTTCTGATGATTTACTTGGACACATGATCAAAGGCTACTCTTTAGTTCAGAATCCTAATATCAGACGAAAGCTAAGAAAATAAGAGTTTACTCTCACATCAAATGTTAGCGACGCGCTTGTGACTGCTGAGTTATAAGAGTCTATGGGTTAGTCACTTTCCATCACGTGACCTGACTGCTTGTTTGACCTCTTTTTTACTGTGCGGAAAATCCCTCGGATATCACCGTAGCGGTTATGTCGGACTCAAACCGACTAAAAACTCTGAAAGAAAAGGAAATCTCTGGTGCCCCGTTGGACCCCGGGGAATCTACGGCTTGAAGATAACCCCTCCTGTATGGGAACCACGATGTTCCCTTTCTGCCACCTGAAGGGCTCGCGCGCTCAGCACCTCACCACGTGGCAACGCCGGCCTGCTTGAGCTAGGGTAACAGATGGCCTCACTTGTGGGTGACAAGTGAGGCCTTCTGTTACCTGGTTACCAGGCTTGTGCTTATGGAGGATGGAGGTCGTTCAGCGACCTCTGGCGCCTGAGTCGTCGGCGGTACCTGGTCCATTCCCGGGCCTGATGGCTCCGCCGTCTCTTTTGCGTTCATAATTTGCTCGCAGAAGGAGACCGCGGAATGCTCGTTTACCCCTATATTATAAAAAAGAAATAAATGTAAATAAAAGAAGATGGCTGAATAGACACTAAGTGAGATTACACAGGTAAAATATGCTTTGTCAAGTTTAGTTTTAATGGTCAATTTCGAGTGTACAGTTTTTATCTTCTAAAGACGTCTTTTTTCTCTTACTTGATCGTACAGGTCTTTCAGGAGTTGACGGATCTTTCGAACTGAACCTTGAGATGGACGAAATTCCTTCAGATTTAATATTGTCTGTTGAGGAGTCAGTAGAATCCCTTCTGATGCGTTCAATACTTGCAGGTACAAACATAGGGTTTGGTTGTGGGCCCACGTTGTCTTTTGGCAAGTTTGGGACTACGAGGACTCCTTGTTGTTCATCGTAGACACCGATGTGAGCATTGTTTGACCCTGGACCGAGGGGGGCGAAGAAAGCATTAAAGTTGTAAGGTTGTGGAGGTGGGAATGGACCCACCAGGTTTTCATGACTGGGTAACAGCATCGCTAACTCATTCTCTACTACGTTGAACACCGCTGTAAACGATACACAGGATTTAAGCTAATTAATTTTGTAGCTATCTTTTGGAATCGCTCAGCACAGGAAATATATCTGGTAATAGTATAATAAACCATAACAATACATGATATGCCATGTACGCAATATGCACCTTTCAATTCAATTGATTACACTGACCTGTATGTACAGAAACTAAAAGTAAACGCTAAGTTAATTTTTTTTCATGACAGTATTGTACTAATATTTTTGTTCTTAGAGTTTTATAGATTGTATTTGGTAATTTAAAGAATCAGGTAGGTAGATCGATAGAATACATAAACATATATTTGCCAAAACGGGTATTAAGCAAAAAAATAGACCACAACACATTGTGGTCAAAAATTCACGTCGCGAAATTGATTTCATAGTTCTCGCAGTTCTCCCGCTGTCGCAATCACATAAAGAACCACATAGCGAATGAATCTTAGGACATTTATACTGGCCAAACTACTACTGGTCACTATAATAACAATAATATTTTCGGACATCTAACACACAACGACATCTAGTTTCAAACTAAGCAGAACTTGTACTGTAAGAGCTGGTAAGATTGACTGATATAATACTGGGCCCAAAGCACAATTTGTTAATAAACTATAAGTACCATTCTGTTTAATGGAAATAACTATCGACTTTAGCATATTGCATATCAATGAACAATTCAATTAAACCTATCTTTTACTTTCGCGATTTCTAATATGACGTGACGTCTTCTAAAAATGCGCATTTTTTGGGAATATTTCTAGCTGATATATCTAATAACCGTGATCCATACTAATATTATAAATGCGAAAGTGTCCCTGTTTGTCTGTTACCTCTTCACTTTTAAAACGCTGAACCGATTCAGATGAAGTTTGGTAAGGAGAGAGTTCTTGAGGAAAGACATAGACTACTTTTTACCACGATAACCGACACACACGCGAGCGGAGCCGAGGACAAAAACTAGTTAAAAATCAGAAAAATATGAATAACCAGAACACAATCTATAATTAACAGGGGCTTTGTACTAAGTCAATAATATGATGCTATTGTTGCGGCATTATATAATCAAGGAATTTGAATAAAACTGCCAAATGTTTAATAAATTGCGTTTTATTATTATCGATGACACGAGCATCCTATACGGTGTGAGTTTTTGGTATTCTTTTTTCCTTTCTTCCATCGTGTGCTGCCTGCAACCGTTCACACATCACAATACAGAATACCTTTGACAAGAAAATGGTAACTCATATTGCTAAGCTAATATATTATGTTAATCGGCACCTCGTTAGCTACCAAGCATCATATTTACAAAACACTGTCAGTCTTAATTTATACAACATTCATTAGTCTAACTATTAGCGGTATTAGTCACCACGCTTACACACATACACGTCACATGTCCAAGTTATTTACGAAAGTACTGCGGACCAATATGTCCTGTTGGCCCACCCGGACCTACTAAGTATGCTCTTCCAGGCCCAATAATGCCTGTCGGGCCTCCAGGTCCCGTTAGTATCCCAGGATTACGCCTGCCGTATCCTGGTCCGATTATACCTGTAGGTCCGCCAGGGCCTACTAAAACACCGGGTCCTCTGCCAGTTCTACCTGGTCCGATTACTCCCGTTGGTCCCCCGGGACCAACCAACACGGGTCGTCGGCCGTAGTTAGGGCCTATGATACCTGTTGGTCCGTCAGGGCCTACGAGAACACCTCTTTGAGCGGACTCACTTCGTCTTCCATCATCGTTGGTTTGTGCCGGTCCGATAATGCCAGTAGGCCCACCGGGACCTACGAGTACGTCTGGCTTCGACTGTGGGCCGACAACACCGGTCGGCCCTTCCGGACCAACCAGGACACCTTGTTGCTGTTTGTTAAAAGGAGGGTGGGAGTTGTCATTAGGGTGACCGATTGGGCCGAAGAAGCCAGTCACTTCAGAACCGGGCGGTGGTGGGAACGGACGAGCAAGGTTCTCTCGTCCTGGTAACAGCATTGGTCGTTCATCTTCGACTTCGTTGAAGAACTCTGTAAGCAACGTGGGTGGCGGATTAGGGTTAAAATTTAGAACAATCGCTTTCCATCAGGAAGTTCAATTGTTTCTTGCCCAACTAGTTAACGGTCATTAAAATATTTGTAATAAATTATATCCTAAAGATTCTCACATATTTTGACTTGAAAATAAAATTGGAACGCGACGTGTCTTAAATATGGCCAAACTGGCACCACAGTGTTATACTGATCAACTTAGATATGTATTTAAGACAGGTACCATAGCCACACTGATATGTTGGTATAGTAATATCAGGGATAGTATTTTATAATATCTCAAATGGGCAGAGCAAGTGTTAAGTTCACTTCTAAGAGGATATAGGTAGCTATCTAATGTTTGTATACTCAAGAATTACAGGTCAAGAAATGATAATATTATAATTAATATTCTCGATAACTAGCGATACTTTACTATAAAAAATTTCTTTGAGGGACCTTTAAAAAGGTCCCTTAAAGAAATAAATTCTTGGAGAGACCTTTAAAAAGGTCCCTTAAAAAAATATTTTTTTTATGGACCTTTACAAAGATCTCTCAAAGAATATTGGTCTTTAAGATTTTTCTAATAAAATAATAATAACCTCACACATCTCACACACGGCCGTCTGATCCTAAACTAGGCAGAGCCTGTACTGTGTATGTATTTTTAAAATACATACATATTATAGATAAATTTCACCCAGACATAAAACAAATGATCATGCTCATTACACAATTGTTTGTCCTAGGCAGGAATCGAACCCCCGGCCTCGGGCTATGCTGTTAAGATCATGGATTAGTAGATTGACAAATTCGCGAAATTGTAATAAATAATAATTTAATAGGTACCTGTGTTTTGTTGAGTTACTTTGTTTGGTCTTTTGAAGCAACACAGATATCTCCCAAGGCCGCATGCTGCCTGTAAAGTAAAGAAAATTAGGTACACTATTTAAATATTAAATTTATACAAAATATATACACACAACAATATTGTGTACATAAAGAAGAAATTAAATGGTATGACAATGGCTTATATGTTAAGACGGAGTGTCGCACTAAACACACTAAAATACACAGACCAATTTAGTATGCTGGTGTACATGAAGTAGAACCTTGGTCAGCTAAGAACACCTTTAGTGAGAGGACCGGATTGGAATCAAGGCAGGTTAACTGTGGTGTTTAGGTTTACTGTGAACACCCTTTGCTATATCCAGGGGACTTCTAGGGTACACCTGGTTCCCCGACTACTGGTGCCTGAGACAGCGTGCGGTTTTAGTCGGTTCGAGTCCGACATTGCCACCGGTAAGTGGTATCCGAGAGGACGAAATTAAGTTGGGCGTTTCATAAAACCCAAATTAAGGAATTTTCTATATTTGAGATGTTTGTGTACCTGTGGTGTAGTGTTTGAACAAAATAATCCATCTTATTTGTGTTTTGAATAAATATATATGTCAGAGAACGAAGCGGGAAGTCAAACCTAATCGATTTGAGCGTATCCGGATGGGGTGATTGGCAACACTGTGGTAGACAGCTCGCTGTCTTTTAGAACAGCAGGCTGTCAATGTTCACTTTTGGGTGAGCAAGACAAGAGCGGAGGAAACATGGGTGGTGACCACATCAAGACTGCGTGTGCATATTTAAGCGTGATTCCTTATTGATTTGGTGTAATTATACTTGATGAGTGCATCACATCAACAGCCTTTAACAGTTCACTGCTGGCCTCTCCTTAGAAAGGAGGTTTTGGCCTACTATGCCACGCTGGTCAGACGGGTTGGTATAGGGTTTGTGTCAAGTTTTCCTTCTCTCTGCAGTGCTGTTGTTTGTTTTTCCCTTAGTCGGCACTTACAACACCCACGGGATGAGTAGAGGTGGTGACGGTCTGTATTCTTAATCCGTCAACACACCGATGATGAGTGCATACGAGGTCTTATTTCCTTACATCACGATGGATGAAAAGTTGAAAAACGATAATCGCCCACACACCCAATATTGTGTAGAGAAATAAAGGAGTATGCAAGTTAAATCTTATTTCGAAAAGTATTTTTTATAACATAGGGCACGGTCATGGTAAGGGACTACCACCGACAATAGACAAGTGCAACTTAATAGTCACGAGTGCTAACCTTTGAAGTGGAAGTCATTAGGAAGAGAGGGAGACTGAGTCTCCAATAACCAGGTCGAGACGGTAAGCTGAGATAACTATTTTTCCCAAAATTCGACCAAATATTCCTCTAATTGATTCTATTACTATCTAAATATTTCATTGACCTTTGTGATTATAAATACTGTACGCAAAAAAAAAACTAACCTCCGAGCTAGGGTGCGGGTTGCACTCTGGAGTGTTGACACACTTGCAGTACTGTAGCGTATCCACGGTACCATCGTAATTATTTGATGCGTACTGTTTTTGACTGAAAACCATAAGAGACCATCGTTGTACAAAAAAATCTAGTCATAAATTACTTCAGAAAAATCTATCTACAGTTGTCAATAAAATGGCTGGTGCTAAGCTTCTAACATATAATACAGATATGTTACCAAAAAACGGCACCAAATAAAGTGTGCTTAAGTGCACAAAATGCACAGTTGAGCAATCAGATGGTACACGCCCGCGCTAGCGGTATGACGTTTTAGGTGTAACCGAAATATGTTATAACTTTGCTTTAGAAGAAATATTGTACTCTCGATAAGTATTTTCAAGCAATTCAAACTTTTAAATTATATAAAACAATGGTATTGAGACAAACGACAGTTAAAAAGTTATTTTCTTTTTTTTTATTCGTATGTTGCACATCTGTCCTTTTCACCATCATGAGCGTGCATGTGGAATATCACGAAATCAATAAATTCCGTTGTGGTAAATAATAAACTACTTAACTACATTGCTTCTTTGTTTTAAATGATTACAAGATATATTAACAGAAACATTTACAATTACGAGTCTGATTTACTATTATGATTGCATGAGGCGTTGTTTCGGAAGCTGAAAAGCTCGATACTACCTGATTAAATAACTGCAAACTTACCCATTCTTTAAGGGATATATCGCATGCCCATCGACCCGGTAAGCTTGATTACGACGTCCTTCTACCCGGACGGGGTACTTTCCAGAACCGGGTGGCCGGTTATAGAAACCTTCCGTTTCTGAAGGTTCATGGAACGGCACGTCGTCGTCCTGTCGCTTTGCCTGATTTTGTCTGTAAAATAAATGGAAATTTATTCATATAGGTACCAGTAATAATAATAACATTTATTTCGTTATGTTCGTCGTCGTTGTCGTTGTCGTAACGTTTATGTTCACTAGCTGACCCTGCAAACGTTGTTTTGCTATTTACATTATTTAAACTTTTTTTTTTTAATTTCTTAAAATCCGTTCTTAGCTGACCTCTACTCGGTGAAAAGAATATTCCTACCAAATTTCAAGTCTTTAGCTCTAATGGTGCCAGAGATATCGTGATGAGTGACTATATACGTGGAAATCTCTTTTATATTTTGATTATGATTTTGAGATTATGCATAAAATTACAAAAATATTTTACAAAAGTTTTAAGTGTGCGTGTGTTTGTGTGCGTGTGTTGTATGTCAAATTAAATATAAAATATAATATAAATAAAATATATGACGTCATACTTTGTTATCAAATGATTTTTTATTAATATTCTCTTTTACAATTAAAATTAACACAACATTTAGAAGAGAAGCAAAATTGACTCCACTTTTGTATGCTTACGTATGTACAAAGTATCGCTATGTTTTAAGTATATGTGTAAAAACAGTGTACAAATCTACATCTAAATAATTACGTTTAAAATAGACTTCAATGCATGAACTGTAATTTCCAATCCATAATTTTCCACCTTTCCAACTTCTTTTATAACAAACTTAAAGAAACCTTCAAGTTTTTTTAAAGTCGATCAAAAATGGTTGATGACGATCTCACTTAACTTGGAGACACGTACACCATTTACATAAGTAACGTCTACATGCTGCCCGGTGCCTGCATCTTATTCAGATGTCAGCGCATACATTAAAATCTACAATTATTCAAACTGCATTGGTAGAACTTTCACGCAATAACTTTCGATAAACTTATTAAATCATTGGAATTCATTTCCTTAACTATTTGAATATTTTTTAATACCTACACTTTTACCTACTTTTATATTTTGTGTGCGTTATCAGATATTTGACAAACAAAATATTTTATTAGAACTTTTTATACGTAGAATGCACAGAGGGACTTACTTCTAAAAGATTTATTCAACTCTCTCTCAACTTGTGAATTAGACAGAGAAACTACGAGACTGACCACTGTAACTCCTCCACACAAGGATCAACAGCAGTGACCCCCGAATACACCGAGTTATGACACTCGGGAAGTCCCAGGAAAAATCAAACTATCTTAGAACTCGCGAGTGAAGAGGCCTATGTCTAGCAGTGGATTGCGATAGGCTGATGATGATGATGAACCCGCAACGAAATTAATCAGAAAAGAATTGAAGTTGTTGGAAATATAAAATAATAAAGGGGAAGCGGCAAAAGTTGCGTACAATTTCCGCCTGCCAATTTTCCAAGTATATTTGAGGCAATATAAAATTTTAAAACGGTTTTCACTGATTATTGTTATGGCTATCCGCACTTTCCTGACATCAACCGGGTAACAGAATAAGATAATTTTGATTAAAAAAAAACAGAAAAGGCGATTGTTAGATCAGGAATCGAACTAAGATTGGAGTAGTATTATATAGACAATTATTTAATTGTTATTACAATTACTGTATAGATAATATTTTATCTATACAGTGCAGTAACTGTTCTTGTCTTAATGACGATGTCTCCAACGGAAACACGGGTTCAGACCCCGGCCAATTGAGCAAAGAGTTGTCAAATAAAAAGTTATTTAAGTAAATAATAATCTAAAAAATATCTTGATAGCAAAAGATCTAAATTAAATTTCTCTACTATTTAAAAATAAACGTAAAATTTTAACGTAACTATTTAACGGAGCAAGTAAAGTTTTGTAACGTAAGTTACAGTAAAATCAGTCCATCACTAGCGTCTAAATGTTACACTATTACGTCACTACGAGAATAAAGGTGGACCAACACTTGTGAGTCATAGCACCTCTTTAACACAGTTTTTAAGCTTCACTTGTTACTAATAAAGTATTTATGTAAACAAGTATTGGACAAGTCGATTTTGAACTACTTTTGATTTTCATGTCGAAATGGTAGTTTCTACGAGTATCTGTAGTTTGCATGACAAAACTAAAGTTTAGTATCTTAGATCTTGCAATGTACCTCCCGTAACCCTCAGCGATACGACTTTACGAATCCTGACCACATGTTAGCCTGACGACTTAGATATTGAGCGAAAACAGACGGCGATATCACTAAGAGCTGCTCATTACATTCAAAGCACACTTTTCCGAGCATATTGTACTAGTTTCTACAATTGCAGCCTGTGGGCTAGATTCACTCAAAAGTCGCACTACGTCCTCAGAGTACAATATAACAATGCGTTCAGGATGTTGGTGGGGCTGCCTCGCTTCTTTAGCACATCGGGGATTCTGCGGACGCACACGTTGACTGCAGGCGAAGAGACGTGCATCCCTGGTGCGCAAGGTTCGAGCCAACACTAACAGCCCCCTATGCAGGATATCCAGTAGGCTAGATTGTACGTATGTGGGTCGCTGCTGTGCTGTCTATGCCGGGATAGCACAGCGGTGACCCACACTCTATATAATTAGATATATAAATGCTAACATCGAAGTAAGTTTTATTGGCACTAATAAGCCTGGTCCTTATATAATGAAATAAAATATGCCCTCAGATTTATACAAAACAATGTCCGTTTGGTAACAGTGGTATTTATAGCGTGGGTGTCGTAAGAGCCGACTAAGGGCTTCAAACTACCTGGGACAACAGCACTGCAAAGAGAAGGAAAACTTGAAACAAACTTTATACCAACCCGTCTGGCCAGCGTGGTATAGTAGGCCAAAACGTCCTTTCTCAATAGAGGCCTATGTATAACATTGGTCTATTGAGGGCTGTTGATCTGGTGTGATACAAGACCTTAATGAAAATATCTCCTTCCTTACGAATCTCTCTAATCAATAGTGTAAATCGTATTAAAATCCCTTCTGTAGTTTTAAAGATTTTTTATATTCAAACTTAATTAGTAAGGTTTTTGTTCTCAACCTCTGGGGACCTCACTGTTAGAAGCCTGAATAAGAAATTTACCTTTAGTTATTATAATAAAATACCTTCCGTGTTCATTTATTACTAGAGGTGTGCCTATACCTTTGTGTAATAACGAGTATTTTACTTTATGGCACTTCCCTAACAATGTATTGAGCGAGACAAAAGAAATGCCTATTTCAATGATAAAGATTTGAATATATTATTCGTCGCGCCTAGTTACATTAGACAATTATTATGTAAAAATCCGCTTGCTTTCCGTAAAAAAACATCCGTATTTCGTGAAAGGAGATCAAAGTCTGTAAACAGGAAGCCGAGGAAACAGTTTAAACTATTTTTAAGAACTTAAAATACTGGAACATTTAAGTGTAATGGTTTACGTCCGTGTGGTGACGGATTAAGAATACAGAGTGTCACCACCCCTATTCATCCCGTGGGTGTCGTAAGAGGCGACTAAGGGAGAAAACTACGCAGAACAACAGCACTGCAGAGAGAAGGAAAACTTGACACAAACCCTATACCAACCCGTCTGGCCAGCGTGGTATAGTAGGCCAAAACCTCCTTTCTAAGGAGAGGCTTATGTCCAGCAGTGGACTATTAAAGGCTGTTGATGAATAGGTTTACACATAAGCGTGTACCATCTTCGTCTTTATTGACACTTTTCAAGAGGTTAGTTGGGAGATAATCGCTCTTATTATGTATATACATGTATTCGCGTCTCTATCCTTGAAGGGATAAGCAGACGTATTAACGCTCACCTAATTTTAGTCGCATTTACATAATACATGGGCATTAGGTGGGAAAATTGAGACTACATTGACGGAAAAATTGCGATTATATTAATGGGAAAAATTGGGAATAAATTGACGGAAAATTTGGGAATAAATTGACGGAAAAATTGGGACTATATGGATGGGAAAAAAAGGATGGTAATGGTAGAAAAGAAATGTTGTTTAAACAAAGATGGACTGGGGAATGTAAGCCAGATCAATTGACCTTTGCCGGCAAGTTAAATATAAAAAAAGAAGACAAAAAAAGTCAAAGTCAAGTAGAAAAAACTTACAGGAGCGTGATAAATCCAGGACCAGAACATTAGTCGTTAATGTGTATTTTATACAGCCTTTGTATACCGAAGTTTACCGAGATTTAGACTCATCATTTCTACCATTTGGTGTTTAAAGTTTTTTATCGTGTGCTAAATTATTTCATGTAAATCATAGACTTGTTTGACCGGTTAATTATAATTACAGAAGGATGTAACAAAGTCATATTGTTATTGAAGCGTGTCTGTTTCGTATGTATGTAATTATTGTCGTGATTTATGGACATTATCTTACATACATGATTAGGTAAACATTGCGTTTGCGGCGTATTAAATAAATGGTGTAAATTAAATGATTATAGGTTAGTTGAAGTTTTTTTTAATATAATATTTTGACAATGTGTATATTTTTATCTTTTTATTTAATACTAGCTGGTATCCGCGACTTCGTTCGTGTGGAATTCGAAAAACGCTGCCTTAGTGTGTTCGATTTCAGGGCCGTGCAAAATTTTATAGGGTTTTTCTGACATATTTTTTTTTTTATCAAAATCAGTCCAGCCGTTTAGAACATTACCAGTTTTTTAGGCATAGGTTTCGTGAGAATAACCGTGTGAGCGTAAAAAAAAATATTTTGACATTACAAACACACACTTCAATTTCATTTATTTGTATGGAAAATATTTTTTTCGGATGTTTCCGTGTGTAAATTGCACACACGCACACACCCTTTTTTTACTAGTTCTTGTATAACGACCTACTCACATTAATACACCAGTTTTGGCAAAACATGTTGATTCTAATAAATATGAAACAACAATAATATAAATTAACCATTTATTATTATATTCACACATGTTTTGACAAATATCTGTTTATCAAACCACGTTTACATGCAAAGTGTCATTTAGACACGACATTTAGAATTAGGTTAAAATTCCCTACGTCGGGGTATCAG